CTTTCCTGAATCAGTTACTGGGGCAAGGGGATGTGATTATCATGACTAGTTTGAGCCAAGCAGAGCCTTTCTCTGGAGAGCTAGAATTGTGTCAGCCCCACCAAAAGCATGGCTGCCAACTAATGGGAGAAGGGTGGAATGGACGCCAGAGAGGCAACCAATAGTTTTAGCTACATCTTGTCTATTTGGAACCCATAGAAAAAGAAGAATTCTGTATAATCAAGTTTCCATACAGCTAAGGGTTTACTTCATTCCTTATACATATTAAACAGCTTGAAGGACATAGTTCAGAAGTGTATTCTTTATATTTTCTACTATTAACAGAAGTATACCGAATATAAATTAACCATTTAATGAGGATTTGAGGTCATCATGCTGAAAATTTATTATTGTACCGATTACAGTACAGGGACTGACCCCAGGAATTACTGAGCTGTGCATGGCTATGGCCCATGAAATGGTCCAGAGCACTACGAGCTTTAACAAATTGCATCTACTTTTTATGACTTTTCTTTCTCTTCCCTCTCTTTAGATTGCTACTTCTAATCTACAGTGGAATAATGAAGGTTTTTAAATTGCGTATAAATTAAAAGTAAAAAGAAATTGCCTAGGTGGAAATACGCCAGAATGCAAACCACGGTTGCCTCTGGGAAGGGGTGTTAACTTGTTTTTATTCATCTTTGTTTCCTCATGATTGTTTTCTATAATGATTAAGAGTAACTTTTATGATCTCACACACACACACACACACACACACACACACACACACACACACACCACACACCCCATACACACACACATGCAAAACTAAACAAAGTAAATAGGATTGGGGTGGTGCCTTAAAATTCCCCAAGTGGAAAAATGTCCCAGCTATTAATTCTTCCAGCCTGTGGCAGATCTTCTAGCAGATTTAAGGCCTTGTTGTTGATTCCCTGTTGCCTGGTGTTTTCTGGGTCAGGGAATACATATGCTTGAAGAGAAGAGATCACAGAAATGTCAAAACATACCAGGGGGGAAGGTCAGCTACCTACCTACCGTGAGGCTTTGACCTGGTAGCTCTCCACCAGGCAGAGACTGGCCCTCCGCCTTACAGATGGGGAAACCCAGTTTTGCCTGTGCCTCAGGGTTGCGCAGTTCATGAGGATGACGACTCAACACTGTGGAAACTCATGATTGACATGTGTGCTTCTTACCCAGAATATCAATTTAATGACAGACAATGAAAAAGGACCTGCTACTCAAAAGGCATTTTTCTCCCGGCATAGAAACCATATGGGGAGCCAAATTATATTTAGAAGGTTGATATGGTGAGCATAAAATTAGAACAAATTATTAAGTGTCATAGGTTAAAATAGCCTGGTACATCCATCCATCAACAGGCTGGGTCATATCTGCCAATCACACCAGACTGCCTAAGGCCTCAGACCACTCCAAACAATGCTTTTTGGACACTGCCAAACTTTATCTTCATGGCTCACCGTTTTATTTATTTCATTACCAAATAACCCCCTTTCTAATGAGTAATTCTTTCTTTGGATGAGTTAACACAGTCACAGGCTATGGATAAAGGTTATTGCTCTTAAAGTTACTTTTCATACTCCTCTTTACATATAGCTCTGGGAGAACAGTTTTCAACTGCCAGGGCCACCTCATGGTTACCTCCTACTCTACATACTGTGTTCAACTTCTAAGAGAACCGAAATCCAAATCGAAAAGAGTACAAATAAATATAAAACCAAACTAATTACCTTACCCACAGCACCTCCACCAAACCAAATCAGTTCCCCAAACTAACTTATCTTTTTAAAAAATTAATGATAAAGCTCATCTTTGACTCTTCTTGAGGTGGCCAAGTCTTATTTTCTCCTCCTTCTCAATGCCTCCCCCATCCATTGTTTGCTTTCCATTCCCACTGCCCCACTTTTTTTTTTTTTTTTTGCGGTACGCGGGCCTCTCACTGTTGTGGCCTCTCCCGTTGCGGAGCACAGGCTCCGGACGCGCAGGTTCAGCGGCCATGGCTCACGGGCCCAGCCGCTCCGCGGCATGTGGGATCTTCCCGGAAAGGGGCACGAACCCGTGTCCCCTGCATCGGCAGGCGGACTCTCAACCACTGCGCCACCAGGGAAGCCCTCACTGCCCCAATTTTTAAAAAAAAATTTCAACCTGAATTACTGCGAGTCCAGTAATTTCTTTCCTTGCCTCCTGTTTCCTCTCTTCTCCTCTCATCTGCATATCATTGGCCTATTAATCTTCTAGAAACTTTCTCAAAATATTTAAGGACCCCTCATGACACAAAGAATGAAGTGCGAATGCTCTGGACCAGTGCTCAAAGTTCTCCCAAGTTTGGTCTTTATGTTCTGTTTGGCTTTGCTTTCTGTGACCCCTCAACAGAACCCTGCATTTCAGCTTTGTATATTCACTATGGACAAATGAAAACGTTAAATACAGACAATACTTATGTTTTGTAATGCAAACCTACCAGGAAGAAGTCTTAGAAATTAACACCAATAGATACAGTTTGCAGATTTTCATTTTAACAAATCATTCAACTTAAAAAAAAAAATTCCCTGTATTTAACTTCACAGACACATACATACTTTCATAGAACCATGGCTAGTTACCAGGTAATCAACGAGTATCCGCAGCTGCAGTCATGCTTTTGAAGGAAACCTAAACCTGTCCAATGTAGGTCTTAATCCAATGACAGCTTCAGACAAGCATCGCATAACTCATATTGACTTGTGACCTACCATCATTCAGAAATATCTCGGAACATAAATGTCTCTGGCATTTAATGTGATAGAAACTCTGCTTATTTCTTATGCAGGATGTGACCTTGAGGGACATAATATGATCTGTTGGGTTTAGTCACCTTTCAGTAAGAACCCGACACAAAGTGATTTGAGCAATAAAGGCAATATTTTGACTCATGTAATTCAAAACGTGACATAGCTATACTCAAGTATTCAAACATGAACATATCTCAGCTCTGCATTTCCTCATGCTTTATTCCCCAGTAGATTCTTTCCAGATAGAAGGAACGACCAGCAGCTCAGTCTTAGCAACCCCAGCAAAAAGATGGTGTCACTTTCCCAATACTATCAATAAATATGCTACGGCGGATTCTTATTGGGCCAGCTCAAGTCATATGCCCATTACTGAACCAATCATTGTGGCACGGGGATACATTGTCTTGATTACCCAGGACTGTCTCATGTACTCCTCCTCCCTGCTGAAGCGACAGGATGGGGTCAGCCCCACTGCACTACATGGATTGAGAATGGAGGAAATGTAGTTCTCCCAAGGAAAATCAAACGCTGTTATCAGAAGAAGCGAGAACAGATACAAAACAAACAGGTGAATACTAGGGGCAGATTCTTACATTAATGGGCATCCCTATTATCTCTTATTATCATATATTCATTCATGAGTCCCACAACTTTATAATCAAATTTTGAGATTAACCAATATTTTTAATATACATACCCTTAACCCAGCAACTCTGTTTCTAGAAATGATAGCTCTGCTATTAAGTGTTTTCCTACATGTCCAACACTGGCCTGTGTACATTGCAGACGTTATTTCATTTAATACAGAACTCTAGGATGGAGTGGTATTATCTCTATTTTTGAGCTGAAGAAATTGGGCTGTTAAGGGACTTAAACAAGGTTGCAGAGCTAATAAGAGGTAAAGCCAGAAGTCAGCCTTCAAAGTCTTCACTACTATTAGTTACTTCCCTCAGCAGTCTCTGTGGCATATAGTCTCATGAATTTATTCTAAGCAAAACTATGACAGGTGAGAAAAGAGGTACATCCCAGGAGGTTATTTATAAATATTTGTCCACAGAACTCAAGTGTGAAATAAAGTTTCAATAACTTATGTCAACATACATATTCCTCTCATTATCAGTAAATATATACTAAGTTCTTACTTTATAAAATGATAAAAGATTAATGACTTTTTTGGTAAGGCTGTGAAATTACAATTTTGTTCAAACCAGCTGTCTAAGCTACGGAAACATCCACAGTTAATCAAACACAATAAGGCCTTGTGCATTGTTTCATATCTCTCACCATGTCAGTTTACCATTTAGGAAAAAGTTGGATACTGAATTTGTACAACTCAAAATATATCTTTATACATTGCAGCTGTCTATTATCAAGCCAAAGAGAGCTTTAGGCTAAATTATTTAACCTTGATGACACTCAACACTAGAACATTCCATCAAATTGGAAAGTGAGTGGCCTAGAAACCCACAGACCTGCTGGTTTTAACCATTTCACCCAAGAGTGAGAAGCTTCTGTTAGCAGTCAGAAACCTTCGCTCTGCGCTAGTCCCCAAATCAGGGCAAAAGAGGGGGCAGGACAGCAATGGCCCTGAAGCCAATGAAGAGCTTAGACCACTCTAAGGACAGCTGGAAAGGTAGCCATACCGGTCTAGGTTTCTGACAGCTGCCTGGACTAGGTGGGAGGAGAGGGAAAACTCAATACATAGAACTCTGTAACACACAGAAAGATCAGTTAATTTATAATCAGTCTCTTTTTCACCATGCCTCCATTTCTCATTATCCTCGGGAATGTATCCTCAGCAAATATAGCCCTAAAACACTCCTGAAAAGCACATGAAGGAGAAGCTCATTTGCACAAGAGTAATGATTTAGTCCTGTGAACTTTTAATTTGCATAATCCCCTTTCCTTTCCCCCTTTTGTAAAGGTCTTTGATATTTTTTTCTCCAAATGATGTGGGTTGGGGAAAAGAATTAAGCAAGCATCAAAGTTCTCCCTCCTGTGTTCTCAGCTATTACATTAATCTTTAAGATTTTTCTCTCCCGTTTATTAAAAATCAGTGACTCATCCAACTTTACACATAAATCCACATCAAAGTTAATTAGAATCTTGGTAGGCTAATGTTTGTCTCTTCCCTTATTAATTCCTAGAAGCTTGAAGCAAGGCTCTGTGTGTGATTGTGGAAGAAAGGAAAAGAGAAGCCAGTGGACTGACCTGCTAGGGCTTCATGGGCAGTGTTTGCATGGCTGGATTCAGAGTTGGGCCCAAGCCCACTCACTGTGAAGAAGGACCAGGCCTCTAAGTAGCCCTGCTGATGGTCAGGTCAACCTCCTCTGGAACTGTGGTGAACCCTGACACCAATCTGAAAGAGGGAAAATGGAGGTAAGAATTAAACAACAGAGGATAGAGCCTTGCTTGCTGACATCTTTTGCTCTCCCTCCTCTATAATCAGGAAAAGCAGCCAATCATTCTTGTAAATTGACTTTCTCTCCTTCCTTCCTGTAAAGTTAAACAAAAAAAAGATACCATGCAGCTTTGTAGAACTTCTACTGGAAGCAGGAAAAAAAAAACTGCAAGAGGTAAGAGGATAGTGCAAGATAGAAATGATCACACAGCAAGACATTTTTTTACGCGGGCCTCTCACCGTCGTGGTCTCTCCCATCACGGAGCACAGGCTCCAGATGCGCAGGCTCAGCGGCCATGGCTCACGGGCCCAGCCGCTCCGCGGCATGCGGGATCCTCCCGGAACAGGGCACAAACCTGCGTCCCCTGCATCGGCAGGCCGACTCTCAACCACTGCGCCACCAGGGAAGCCCCAGCAAGACATTTTTGTGTTTGGTTTTCTCAAAGTGTACCTGGAAACAGAATGTACGGAGAGTACATGAGTAGGACAGGGGATTCGATCTAATGTACTTATTAGTGAGAAACTGACAGCACCAGCTCCAGGATTTATTGCATATTGATTTTGCTTTAGGAAGTTTGTGTGGAAATCACATAAAACAAACTGAGAAAACAAACTTTCTTCCCAAACCATTCTTGAAATGTGTTGGGCAATCTTCCAAAGTATTTTCTTATTTTGAAAAATTAGTTACATTATTAACATTCCAAAGTCTAAAGTATACACAACAGGAAAGCCAAAACCTCATACTTCTGCCCCATAACAAGAGGCTTAAATTATCCACCGATAAGACAAGTTAAAGTTTTAGAGCATAATAAACTTATTTCACCTTCATACTTTTGAAACTACTCTTTATAAAGCCACATAATTCCACACTATATGTAAGGAGATAATTTGAAGTCCTAGAAAAACTTAAAACCAAAAGAGTTCATATTGAGTTTAACCCACACTGGAGGGCTGATGCATTGTATTCAGAGCTTCCTCTCTTAGCTCTGATGACTAAGACTTTGTTCTGGGTCACATTCCATGTGCTCAGATCCTTTCCTCCCAGGAAGTTTCTTACCCTTTCCCACCACCTTCCTCTCCCCCTCAAAACACAAGTATCAGGCCGACTCACCAGCTTGCCCAGAGCCAATGCTCCTGAGCCTCAGCTTGAGTTCACCTCCCAGGAGGCTCTTCTGCCTCCAGAGAACAAGAAATCCAGGCAGGTTGAACCCGCAGAAGAATTGATAATTCCAGAAAAAGAACAGGGACAGTAACAGGCAGAATCAAAGGCACTTTGAGTCCTACAGAGGGACACAAGATTGCTTTGGATTCTTCACACCATTACTCTGGATTCAGAGTTGGGCCCAAGTCCACTTGCTGTGAAGAAGGACCATTAGCCATTTTAGCCATTTTAGCATGGCTAAAATGTAGGGCTGGGGGTGGGCACAGATGCCTCAAATATGATAATCAGTTTATAATATTCACATTGTCACACAAGACCAGGTAAACCAGACTTGGGTTTTGCAATTTACATAGCCAAGTTCACGTCCTTGAGGCAACTCTACCACATTTCTACCCGCTACTGTTCAGTCCCTTTGGGATATGAAAAGGGTTGTTTTCCAACATCCCTTGGCCCTTCCTTCCCTAGAGGCTACATTTAAACTTCATCTTCACTTTTCAATGCTCAACCCACCCTGCTCTTGAGGATCTATTGTTGTTTTGTATGAAATAAAATGATAAACATTGAATTGTGACACACCTTCTGTGCCACACTAATTCAACACCTACAAATGAGACATTTGTTTTGATTCATTATATGTAATAGAAATTATACAGAGGAGCCATGTTTTATGCAGGGATAGGTCTAAAGTCAGCATGTAAAATAAAATCACGTAGCAGCTAAATTTGTTATTCCCTTAAACTAATTTGGAATGCATAATTTTGTGTATACAGCCCTACTCAGTAATATATATCACTTTCAAATGATTCCACTTAATATAAGTGAAAAATATAATTTTCAACATTTTTTAATTTTGTAAGAAGAGAGAGTGAGAAGCTGGTATTCTTCATTGAGTTCTGAATAAGGTAGCTGGTTTGCATTTAGAGTGCATGTTCTATTAAAAAAAAACTCATAAAACAAAAAACACAACCATGCCTTTAAGGGCTAGAATCCCACGGAGCAGCAAGACGCTCCTGAGACTCACATGAGAGCTAGACAACAGGGGAGCACCACTTGTTGGTGTCATGGTGGATGCACGATTAAAATAAATACTTTTGTCTTTCTCTCACTTTTACCTTGTTTTTTATTGTTGTGTAGGCTGTTGGTTTGCTAAGCCAAGCACTTTTAGTTGAATTCCCATAAATTAAATGTGTGTGTGTATGAAATGCAACTCCGCTGTAGAGAAAAAAAATGTGTATCGGGTTGATTACCCAGCAATGTTCACTTATTTGTCTATTTACTCTAAATATGAAGTTTGATTCCTTTTTACCGGGGGATTGAATCTCCTATTGCCACTGTTACATGCAAAAAGATGTCCATATACACATGCACAGATGCATGCGGGCGTTACACACACACATGCATATACCGCCACCACTGAGGGGGCAGTATATGAAACACCCTCCTCCAAAATCTCCAGTCAAGGTTTAATCAACTTCGTCCCACTAACTGTTAAACCCCTTGGCATCTACAACCCCACCCCACCCTTGCCATGTGGCCAGATGTCTCATCTACTTCCTTGTGCCCTGGAAGTTACCTACATGGTGCCTACAATGCCCCTTTGGGCACTGAGTTCCTCCGGGGCCCCATCAGTACCCTGCCCTGGTCCAGGGCCCCGCTGTGTGCTGCAGGCTCTGCTGCCCTCGCTGTGACCTGCACTTTCGCTGTGGCCACCTTTCTGCCCCCAGCACTGCTGGTAGTCTCTGTTGTTGCTGCATTTGCTGCAGTAACCAGTACTGCTGGCTGCCTCTCTCCTAGAAAAGCAAGAAAAAGAGGAAACCAAGACACTCTTGGGTACTAGTCAGCTCTCTCCTTCAACAGTTCAAGGTCTGAATTTCTGGGTTATATGAAGTCTTGAAGATACTACCGCAGGAGGGAAGGAGGGGGCCTTGTCAACAAAGGGCATATTTCAGGTTAGTTGATAATGGGAAAATCATTAACATGAAATAATGGCAACAACAAACACTTACATAGCACTTAGAACACCCTAAGCACTGTTTTAAGTGCTGACACATCTTAACTCATTTAAGGCAACTGTTTTGGCCCCTTTCAATATTAAGAACATGTTGCTACCTGTATTGGCCTCCTAGCCCCACCCCAAACTTGCCAATAGGAGGGAAATCCCTTTCTCTCCCATTGTCAGCCAGAGTGACATTTCTGTCTTCCCAGTCAGGGCATACTCAGATTGCATATGGCCGATAGCTGGCTTCTCCCAAATTCTAGCAGTCCTAGCTTACTAGATTACAATATAAAGTGTAGGCTTCCTAGGAACAGATACTGTGTTTGCATTCACATTTTTAAACTCGTTTTATAATGAAAATGAGTAGGAAACGTTTATACATACATATATACATGCATATGCATTGATACGTTTATCTCATATATATGAGATACACATGATATACATATGAGAAAACAAATGTCATATATATATAGTCATATATATATGAGAAAAACATATATAAAAATTAGAGAGAAGAGTGTAATAAACCTTTATAAACCAGTCCTAATTTCAACAGTTATCAACATGTGAATAATCTTGCTTCATCTATACCCCACCCACAGAATTATTTTGAAGCAAATTGCAGACATCCTATTATTTCATCTATAAATACCTCAGTATGTGTGCCAGTTATCAGTTTAACATTCCGCAGCTCCAAACCCACCCTTCTTTGTTCCAGTGTGTGATTCTGGAGCTGGACCCTAGAAACATTTCTCTTTTGCCAGCTGGCAAGATGTTAAGCTTTATCGTTAGAGGACATCAGAGGGACCCTGGAGGCGGAAGGGGTGTCTCTTCCAGGCCTCACTGTGCTCTCCCCTGCCTGTTCTTATAGTCGCAGGCAGCCGCAGCTCAGGAGCCGCATAGGGGCACTTACCTCCCAGAGAGTTTGGCAGCACCCAAATGGGTGGCTTCCCGGTGAGTTCTGCTGGCATCTCAGCCAACCTCCCAGTGAGTCTCACATGTGCTCAGCTGGGGTCTTCTCATGATTTTATATATGTGTGTGTTTGTATACAGCTATATGCAGAACATTTCCATAATTCTAAAGTTATAGCTACAAAACAAAGAACATTTAGTGCAGTCTAGCTTCCATTCGTGTCCTCTTCCCTTTCCTTTAAGAAATCATTTTTCATTAATTTGTCAATTCTACCATTTTTAAAGATAAAAGCAAAAATATTCACATTCCCCTTTCTTTAAAAAAGGTAGCACACTATATGTACTATTTTGTACCTTGCTTTTTTCCACTTAACAGTATATCCTGAAAATCACTTTGTAAATGTAGAGACGTCTGCTGCAGTTGCTTAGTATTCCCTGAGTGAATGCACGGTATTCAACCATCCCTGAACTGGTGGACATCTGAGTTGTCTCCAGTCTTTTGCTATTATAGGCAATGCTTCAGTGAACATGTCTTTTCATTTTTGTATCAGAGTATCTTCGGTATTGTATCAGTTAGCTTTTGCTATCTATAGCACATTACCTCAAAACTTAGTGGCATAGAGCAACATCATTTATTAGCTCAACATTCTGTAGGTCAGCAATTTGGGCAGAGCTCAGCCCTGTCCTTCCTTCTGCTGTTTTCACTCATGTGACTGAAGTCAGCTGTCAACTCAGTTGGAACTGGAGAGTCCAAGGTAGATTCACTCACATGTTGGGAGGTCGGTCAGCTGCTGGCCAAGAAGCCACGAGTGGCCTCTCACCCTCTGGTAGGCTAGCTAGCGCTCACTTATACATTCTTGTCGCACTCTCAGGGTTCCAAGCACGTCAAGAGAAAACAAGATCCAGTGCACAAGTACTTTTCAATCTTCTGCTTGCGTTAACTTTGCTACTGTCCTAGGGTACTCAGACAAGCTCATTGTTATGGGGAAGAGGGTGACTACCCAAAGATATGCACACAGGCAGAGGTATTCTAGCAGTCATTTGCAATCTGTCACAGGGATAGATCTCCAAAGACAAGGTTGTTGAGTCACAGGGCAAATTCAAATGTAAAATTTCCAAATCCCCCAACCTCCTAACCCTAAGGATTAGACCATTAGTATTCCCTCCCACTATGAAGGAAAGTGCCTGTTTCTCATAGTGTCAGTGCCCA